ACCCCCCCCCAGCCACCCCGAGAAGGACACACTCAGCATCACCTCCACTGCCACCACATCCACCGAGGAGTCTGCCCCAAGTGCTATCTATGCCACCATCTCCCCAGCCCTACACAGCTCCAGGAGGCAGATGGATGCCCAGCTCTCCTTGGTCAACCAGCACCCCATTGGGCCCTTCCCCAGGGTCCAGTCCCCAACCAGGTTGAAGAGCCCATCCCCAGACAGCCCTGCAGCTGGTGGGCTGCAGAGCAGCCCTTCCCCATCCCCTCCTCCTCCCCCAGCCCACCCAGCTCCCCCTCCACCAGACAAGGGCAGCCCCCAGGCCATGGCCAACCAGCACTTCATCATGGTGGAGGTTCACCAACCCAACAGTGAACCCGACGTCAACGAAGTCAGGCCCTTGCCCCAGGCCAGAGGTGGGTGTCTTGTTATCAACCACGGGGTGAAGAAAAAAACAAAACACCCTCTCTGGGGTGTTCCTCAACAGAGAATTTGGGTAACAGTTGGATCTCAAGGAACTGGGGGAGTTGGAGACCTGCTGCAGGTCCCTAGTGTGGGTTGGCAGCAGGGATGGGCTGCAGGGTCAAACGTTGTGCATTTCATTCAACCCCCAGGTCAGTGGGGCAGGGTAAGAGCCCCAGAGCCTGTGTGCATGTGGCAGTGTTGGGCAGCTCTGTGCTGGTTGGCTTTTTTCCCCTCCCAAGATGATGTTTTAGTGGCTTGAGAACATCCTGGCAGCAAAACGTGACAACCCAGGAAACACAAAAGGCCCTGCAATGTTGCCAGTTGTGGGGTTAATCCCTGGGAAAAATCCCTCTGTTTGGGCAAAACCAGCTCCCCAGGATCTCCCTGGGTTCCCTCTGCAATCTGGGCTGACCTTGACCTGAAGACCAAGCTCCCTGGTGGGCAGTTGGTTGCAGCTTCTCTCCTCTGTCACCCACCCGATCTGCTGCCGGTTGGAAAAGAAAAAGGGGAAAGAAGCAGGTCTGGGATTTTTGCCATTAACTCCACGTTTTGGAAAAAAACCCAACAAAGATGAGTGGAGCCTGGGAACAGGAGTGGGAGTGCGGGAGGAGCCCGCTGGGTTCCCTGGGTCCCTCAGCTCTGGAGAGGGGGGGTCTCTGCCCGGGGGGGGGGTCCCCGCAGTGTCCCCAAGCCCCCCTCAGCCTCCCTGTGTGACCAGGCTCTGGGGTGCCATGCGAGGGGTGTTGTCGCCCTCCGGTGGCACCATCCTCCCAGTGCCTCCCAGTGCCTCCTTCAGCCCTGCACTCCCTGCAAGAGCTGCCCCTGTTTTTCCCCGACGTTTCCAGGGGCTGAGGGGTCTGCACCCAGAGCCTTCATCCCGACAGGGGAGAAGGTTCCTTCCTGGCAGCTCCTCTGTGCTGGCTGTGTCCCCATCTCCCCCAGAGCCCCGGTGAGGAACACGGGCTCACACCGGCCTCTCGTGAGCTTCTCACCCTCTCCTCCCAGCCCAGCTTGGGATCTGGGTCGGATCCTGGACGTGGCTTTGAAGCCACTTTGTTCCTCGGGGCTCCTCATAGGAACCCTGCTCCAAACCCAGGGGTGAATCCCAAGGAACCTGTGCCCATCCCTGGCAGCGGGTGAGACGTTCCCCCCACCTGCGCCCGGTGACCCCGCGGGCGCTCGGCTGCTCACAGGGCCGTGCTGCCCCAACCCCTCTCACAGCCCTCGTCTCTTCCTCAGCCTCCACGCTCTCCCAGCTGTCGGACAGCGGGCAGACCCTCAGCGAGGACAGCGGGGTGGACATCGGGGAGGTGGAGGTGGGCAGCAAGGACAAGAGCCGGCAGCCGGGCCCTGGGAAAAGCCGCAGCCTCAAGGAGGCCACCAGGAGCGAGGGGGTGGCAGAAGGGGCTTCCAAGCCGGTGAGGCTGGGGGCCTCGGGGGGCTGATGATATGGGGAGGTGGGCCCCCCGGGGT